TAATGTCTTGCCCAAGAACATAAATGCTTTGCTTGACCATGAACTCAGATACTTCACAACTCCAGGTCAATTCTTTTAGCCATAGAATGGCATTTTTATATGAAAAAATATGTAATTATTCAGAGTCTTAAAAAGGGATATAATTGACAATAATGAAATTGACAATAGAAAATATATTGATGAATGTCTTGCCCAAGGACATGAATGCTTTGCTGGACCATGAATCCAGACACTTCACAACCCCAGGTCAATTGTTTATACCAAAGAATGGAGTGTTTATTAGAACAAATTCTTATTCAGAGACTTAGAAAGGGATAAGAATTAACATTATGAAATTGAAAATGGGAAATATATAGCTTAATGTCTTGCACAAGGACATAACTGCTTTGCTGTACTATATACCCAGACATTTCTCAACTGAAGGTCCATTCTTGTAGCTATAGAATGGCATTTTTATAATATATGTATTTAGAGACTTAGAAAGGGATATAATTGACAATAATGAAATTGACAATGGGAAATGTATAGATTAATGTCTTGCCCAAGGACATAAATGCTTTGCTGGACCATGAACCCAGACATTTCACAACCCCAGTAACTTTTTGTAGCTATAGAATGGCATGTTTAATTAAAAAAATATACGTAATCAGAGACGTAGTAAGGGATATAAATTTTCCGGGATAAATTAACATTTTAAAATTGACAATGGGAAATAAATAGATTAATATCTTGCCCAAGGACATGAATGCTTTGCTGGACCATGAACTCAGACACCTCACAACCCCAGGTCAATTGTTTATACCAAAGAATGGAGTGTTTTAAAGAAAAAATATATATTTAACCAGAGACGTAGAAAGGGATAAAAAAAAAGGGGAAATTGACAATGGGAAATACATAGATTAATGTCTTTCCCAAGGACATAAATGCTTTGCTGGACCATGAACCCAGACATTTCACAACCCAAGGTCCATTCTTTTAGGTATAAAATGGAATGAGTTAAAAATCAGAGACTTGGAAAGCCATATTATTGAAACAATGAAATTGACAATGGGAAATATAGAGCTTAATGTCTTGCGCAAGGACATACATGCATTGCTGGACCATGAACCCAGATATATCACAACCCCGGGTCAATTATTTTACCTATTGAATGGCATGTTTATTAATCAAAGACTTAGAAAGGGACTTAAAAAGGGATATAATTGGCTTTATGAAAATGACAATGGAAAATGTATAGATTAATGTCTTGCCCAAGGACATAAATGCTTTGCTGGACCATGAACTAGGAAATTTCACAACCCCAGGTTAATTTTTTATACCAAAAAATGGAAAGTATTAAAGAAAAAATCTATGCTTAATCAGAGACTTAGAAAGGGATATAAATTAACATTTTGAAATTGACAATAGGAAATATACAGATTAATGTCTTGCCCAAGGACATGAATGTTTTGCTGGACCATGAATCCAGACACTTCACAACCCCAGGTCAATTGTTTATACCAAAGAATGGAGTGTTTATTAGAACAAATTCTTATTCAGAGACTTAGAAAGGGATATGAATTAACATTATGAAATTGAAAATGGGAAATATTTAGCTTAATGTCTTGCCCAAGGACATAACTGCTTTGCTGTACCATATACCCAGACATTTCTCAACTGAAGGTCCATTCTTGTAGCTATAGAATGGCATTTTTATTTGAAGAAATATATGTATTTGGAGACTTAGAATGGGAAATAATTGACAATAATGAAATTGACAATGGGAAATATATAGCTTAATGTATTGCCCAAGGACATAAATGCTTTGCTGGACCATGAACCCAGACACTTCACAACCCCAGGTCAATTGTTTATACCAAAGAATGGCACGTTTATGCCTAATCAGAGACGTAAAAAGGGATTTAATTTGAAATAAAGTAACTGACGATGGGAAATATATAGATTAATGTCTTTCCCAAGGACATAAATGCTTTGCTGGACCATGAACCAAGACACTTCACAACCCCAGGTCAATTGTTTATACCAAAGAATGGCATGTTTATACCTAATCAGAGACATAAAAGGGATATAATTGGAAATAAAGTAACTGACGATGGGAAATATATAGATTAATGTCTTTCCCAAGGACATAAATGCTTTGCTGGACCATGAACCCAGACACTTCACAACCCCAGGTCAATTGTTTATACCAAAGAATGGCATGTTTATACCTAATCAGAGACATAAAAGGGATATAATTGGAAATAAAGTAACTGACGATGGGAAATATATAGATTAATGTCTTTCCCAAGGACATAAATGCTTTGCTGGACCATGAACCAAGACACTTCACAACCCCAGGTTAATTGTTTATACCAAAGAATGGCATGCTTATACCTAATCAGAGACATAAAAGGGATATAATTGGAAATAAAGTAACTGACGATGGGAAATATATAGATTAATGTCTTTCCCAAGGACATAAATGCTTTGCTGGACCATGAACCAAGACACTTCACAACCCCAGGTCAATTGTTTATACCAAAGAATGGCATGGTTATGAGAACAAATTCTTATTCAGAGACTTAGAAAGGGATATGAATTAACATTATGAAATTGACAATGGAAAATATATAGATTAATGTCTTGCCCAAGGACATAACGGCTTTGCTCGAACGTAAACTCAGACATTTCACAGCCCAAGGTCCATTCTTTTAGCTATAGAATGGCATGATTCTAAATCAGAGATGTAGAAAGGGATATAATTAACAATAATGAAATTGACAATGGAAAATATATCGATTAATGTCTTGCCCAAGAACATAAATGCTTTGCTGGACCATGAACCTAGACACTTCACAACCCCAGGTCAATTTTTTTAGCCATAGAATGGCATTCTTATATGAAAAAAATATATATATGTAAACTGAATTGGATACAAGGAAAGTGACATTCCGCGGCATTGTGGAACTAGGAAACCACATCATGTAAAACATTGGAATATGGACGTAATGTGATATGGAAGTAGGTAATGGGAAAGAGGCAAGAATGTGAATATAGGTCATAAGGACCATTTTAGGAAGACAAATGGAACATTTCTTGTTCAATGTTAACCATCCATACATAAAATTTTGTCAACAATGAACCTCTTGCCATGGGAAGCAACACTATAGAATCCACGTAAAATAAGAGCTATACAAGGACATCAAATAATAATGGTACAAATGATGGAAACTAATAAGTGAATAGACTGTCAAGAAACGGTACCTGTTGGGAAGGCAGACGAAGTGGTGAATCTGGTGTGAATGGGTCAGGAATGCTGGTGGTGAATCTGGTGTGAATGCGGCGGGAAAAGCAGGAAGGCAGGAATGCTGGTGGTGAATCTGGTGGTGGTTCTGGTGGTGTACCTGGTGTGAATGCAGCGGGAAAGGCAGGAAGGCAGGAATGCTGGCGGTGAATCTGGTGGTGAATCTGGTGTGAATGCGGCGGGAAAGGCAGGAATGCTGGTGGTGAATCTGGTGGTGAATCTGGTGTGAATGCGGCGGGAAAGGCAGGAATGCTGGTGGTGAATCTGGTGGTGAATCTGGTGTGAATGCGGCGGGAAAGGCAGGAATGCTGGTGGTGAATCTGGTGGTGTACCTGGTGTGAATGCGGCGGGAAAGGCAGGAAGGCAGGAATGCTGGCGGTGAATCTGGTGGTGAATCTGGTGTGAATGCGGCGGGAAAGGCAGGAATGCTGGTGGTGAATCTGGTGGTGAATCTGGTGTGAATGCGGCGGGAAAGGCAGGAATGCTGGTGGTGAATCTGGTGGTGAATCTGGTGTGAATGCGGCGGGAAAGGCAGGAAGGCAGGAAGGCAGGAATGCTGGCGGTGAATATGGTGTGAATTAGGCAGGAAGGCAGGAATGCTGGTTTTACAGATGAATTTAGAATATGTTGTATACTGGGAGTCCTTGTATGATGGTAGCTCTTATTTCACGTCTGCCTGCTGGAGAATACCCAAAAATATATTGTATTCACAATTGTATTCTCTACGTTGCAGTTATGAACTTTTTAAACAAGTCATAGATTTTGTTTCTCCACTTCATATATTATTTAAAGGTAATACAAAGTTTTGGTATGGGGTTATGGTTATGGTAACTTCGGTTCAAATGAACGTATTGGAATTAAGCATATGCGATCCTACAATATTCAGTGGTCATTGTCGTGGTTGAAATCAAGTCTAAAGTTATACAATTGTAAATAGTAAACTCTTTATGTTGTAAAGCTCCCTCTCAAGGTCAAGATATTATTTAAGCTATGAAACAATATTTCTGGACTAAAATCGACCGATTAGCTATTCCTGTTTGGAAATTATACATCACAACTACATATTCTGAGATTTTCATGGTCGCAGCTACCATTGTACGGCAATAGGCGCCATTTGAAACTTATCAAAATTTACCGGGAGCACCGGTAAATTTTTATATTCAATTTTTCTTGAAAGCAGAAGTGTTTTAGGGGCTTAATTTTCTAGTGCTTATAATACATCCACAGGGGCATCCAAATATATCAAAATTGTAAAGAATCACTAGCCATCCAATTTTCAAAATCTCCCAAAACTTTGTATTACCTTTAACATTCACCCATGATTATTGAAGGAAAGAAACTGTTTAGCAATAGGTCTAAAATGACTGAAAGTTTCTAGAATACTATCATTAATGTTTAGTATTCAAAATGTCAACATCAAAGTTCATCGATCTCATTGTTATTTTTTAATTACATGAGATTAATTTAGGATCATGGTAAAATATCATGAAAGACTTCAATGGTGAACCAACCTATACCACTTGGTAAGGCAATTCCTTTTACAATTTAAAAGCTGCGATATACCTATCACACATATTGTTATTTTAGTTGTATAGCTTTCTTCATTAGATATGAACCAATACCATTGGCAATCCATGATATTACCATCAGTATTGAAAATGCAGATATCTCATGAATCTATTTTCAGAATATTGATTGAGTTACTTACTGGGTCTCAGTCCGATTGAACGTCTGGCTCAGCATGGATGAAAAGCTCACGATTCAGACGCTGTGAAAGATAAGACATAATTGGAATCAAATTTCAATTCAATACTTTTGACATACTGTACATTTTCTGTTTATACAGTGCGTCCCAGAAAAAACGAAACCGAGAAGTATCGATGTTCTATCATAACTTAATCACAACTATAATTAATGAATGATACATATTTGGAAAGCTTAGGGTCTCCTCTCTCATGTAATGCTACTCAGATGATGCATATTTCACGCATGATTAAAAGCAATTTGAAGGAAGGAAACCAAAAAGACATTTGGCGGGCAGTATCTGAATTTCGAAGAAAAAATCACATTTCTAGAAAGTTGAGCTTCTGCCCTTTCATATGACACCTCAATCAGGAAAAATGAGCCAGGAATGACAAAGTTCTGTTTGTTTAAAGTAGTGCTTGCATTTTCATAATTTTATTAAACGAATTCGTTTTCACTGGCTGCCTGCCGTATCAATAAACGAAATTAACAAAAAGTTAACAAATTAACAAACTCCGTTTCGTTGACAATCAGCCGTAGACGAGAGTCTTCATGCATGGCTGATTGTCATCAAAACGGAGTTAAGTCTTTTGTCAAATCTGCTTTTTGCTACGGCAGGCAACCAGTGAAAACGAATTCGTTTGTTAAAATTATGAAAATGTAAGGGCTACTTTAAACAAACAGAACTTTGTTATTTTTCGCTAATTTTTCCTGATTGAGGTGTCATATGAAAGGGCAGAAACTCAACTTTCTAGAAATGTGAATTTTCCTTCGAAATTCAGATACCGCCCGCCAAATGTCTTTTTGGTTTCCTTCCTTCCTTCAAATTGCTTTTAATCACTCATGCGTGAAATATGCATCATCTGAGTAGCATCAACTGAAAGAGGAGACTCTAAGCTTTCCAAATATGTATCATTCATTAATTATGGTTGTGATTAAGTTATGATAAAACATCGATACTTCTCGGTTTCTTTTTTTCTGGGACGCACTGTATAAACAGAAAAAAGTCATAGTAAAGTTATACCAGTAGGTAGATTATATGATTATTAAATGTAATTTCATGAATCACAACCTTTCTATTACATGTACATGTAGTTTTTATAGAATATTATACAAGCTTTGACCCCAAAACACCCACATTCTCTCAATATCTACATTAAAGATAAAGACTAGTTATGGTCATGCGATTGCATTGTGAAAGAAACGTTGTGGAATCGATCAGAAAAGGTTGATCATCTAGCATATATGTGTACTGCAAGGTTCTGGAATCATCAAACTGATAAGAAATTTGGCCCAGTCTTCGTAAAGTTACAAGCACTGTACACAGAAAGATGTATATGGGACTACGCACACGTGCACGACACGTGCGTTTATCTCTCACAGTCCAATAGATAAACTAATTTACCAAATATATCAATTAGTAGGCGGTTTCCCGGCAATTTTTTTATTATCATGTATTAGTCAAAACATATTCTTTCACATGATTGGTAATAAAGAGCTTCCATTTCATTTTTTGAAATTGGGGCATTTCCAATACTGGTCTTTACCTTTAACAGAATCCCTGACCCTGTCTAAAAGCTGCATTACAATGATTTCAAGTTAACAGTTGTTAATCAAGCCTTGTAAAATCAAGGATATTGAGCTATTTTAAGAGAAATTGTTCCACATTGGAATTAAAAGAATGAGAGAGCTCGTAAAACTTTTTTCACTTCTACCCCAATTCAGTCTTCTCTCATGTTCCTGAAGCTATCAATAAATTAAATTCAATCATCTTCAGACTATTATCCCTTTTACAATAAAATGACAAGCTGATTGTTTTAGTTGAAGCATGATGGAGAGATTTACTCACGTGACCACCGGATCATATGGCAGCCTGTTGTATGAGATCTGTATAAATAAAAAGAGATATAAGTAACATGTGATATTTGAATCTATATCAAACATATTTATGAAAAGTTAGTGTGCAATCAGTAGCATATGTAGCTAAGGCATCTGGGCATGAACCCCAAAATTGTATGTTGCCCCAGGTGCCCCCCCCCCCATTTGAAATTTTGAAATTTTGTAAGATCGCAATATAACATAATGATCATAATGCGAAGGAAAACTTCAATTCAATTTGATAAATTTTAATTGACAAAAAAACACATTTAATTAAAGACATTAAACAGAAAGTAAATATAAAATGGACCGATCATATACAAAGTAGCTAGCATTTGATTAGATAACAAATAAAGTTTCAAGGTGTTTATTGTAATTATTATTCCATTGTTCTCCGAGTCAATGATGTTGTGTACCATATCATAACAAAAATCAAAGAGCATTGTACCGCTAGAAATCATGCACATGCAAGGAAGGACGGTATTAAATAAAACCAACATTTTTCATAAAATTTTGCAAAATGTAAATGTAAATATTTATAATTTTCTTAATAAATATTTATCAGTTGTTCCTCAAAATTGTCAATTTCACTTGTCACTTTATAAATTCTCCTTTTATTTCTACTCATCAAAAATATCAGGGTGGATTTTCCCATTTTATTTCCGTAAGCTTCAATTAGTTTCTGATATTGATGATTGTTCCAAAGAGACTATGTCAGGCTCCACTGACTGCCTCTACACAGAGACTGAAGTCTTGATTGTACTGGTTAGTGAGGGGAGGTTACGCAATGCAGTTTCTGTGTGATTGCCGATATCATTGTGCGCAGTAGCTTCAAGAGAATTACATAATGTACTTGTAGGTTACCTGAAATTAAGTCCTTATATTTTGATGTTTTACAAATATTTTGGATGTAATTTTATAGAACAGTATTTGAAAATCAGATCTACTTTCTTTCCAATCATTATTTTTTTTCTAAATCAAGCTACATTTAAGTCTAGAAAAAACATAAAGCAAACTTGTCACCGGATTCTGGCAAAAAGTGCGGCAAGGTTACCCTTTATGTATGAGGATCAGTTTTATTACACACTTCCGGATCGATCCCCATACCAGACAATCATTTCTGTCCACTTATATTTAGACTATAAATTTTTGTCTCTTTTTGTTCGTTAGCCTCTTATTCGGGTAAGGTCGGCTCCTCTCTTTAATTTTCGGTCTACTTTACATTGATCGAGTTCAGAATTTTCAGATCAAAACAAAATCAACACAGCTATTAATCACACATAGGTGCATTACTATCCTGGCTGTGTAGTAAAAGCTGTGCTTTTGATTCTCAACATTTTAAACACCACTGTACAAAACTCAACTGATTTCACTCAAAATTGGTACTTTAGTGACAATTGATGACATGACTGTGTAGAGTCTATGCAATAATGTGTGGTGTGTATATTTGTGTATAGGTATAATAATACCCGCCTCACAGCAAGCATGCAGTGCTAGAGGTCAATACACATTAGCATCGACTCTCTTAGACTGAAGTACGGCCTATGCCGTACTTGTGGAACAAATGGTTCGGTTCGGCAGGACTGCGATGAATGAGATATGCAACGAGATTTTCACTCTTTACATCCTCATAAATGCACTTTTGCTGCAATATTACAATAGGCTAATAAAAACTATAAAAAATAACAAACAAATATGGCTTTGACTTACGATAGCTTGCTCATTTATATCCTAAATTAAAGGTAATACAAAGTTTTGGTATGGGGTCATGAATTTGGTTCAAATGAACATATTAGAAGCATATGCAATCCTACAATATACAGTGATCATTGTCGCGGTCGAAATCAAGTCTAAAATAATAAAATTGTAAATAATAAACTCTTCATGTTGTATAGCTCCCTCTCAAGGTCAAGATATTAATAAAACTATAAAACGATGTTTCTTGACCAAAATCGACCGATTAGCTACTCCCGTTTGGAAATTATATATCACAACTACATATTCTGAGATTTTCATAGTCGCAGCTACCATTGTACGGCCGTAGGCGCTATTTGAAATTTATCACAATTTACCGGGAGCATCAGTAAATTTTTATATTTGATTTTTCTCGAAAGCAGAAGTGTTTTAGGGGCTAAATTTCTAGTGCTTATAATACATCCACATAGGCATCCAAATACATCAAAATTGTAAAGAATCACTATCCACCCAATTTTAAAAAATTCCCAAAACTTTGTATTACCTTTAATGATTAATCCGAGAAAGTCTCATAGTCGACATGATTCGTTGTCATCCATCTTTAACGGTTTTAATTAATGAATATTATTTTTTCTTTTCGAACGTCCAATAGCTGCGTACTAGTCAACCTAGTGATATATGAATATTCATAAACCCAATACGAAACGAGTGCTCTGATTGGCCATTCGCTTTGTTTTGGTAGGTACGACCCGGAAAAATATCGGCCGAGTGATGTCATAGATTACTAATTTGAATGGATGAACGGTACGTTTCACGGTTCGGAGAAAAAAATTGGATAAATCATATAAGTAAGTCCAAAAATTTCGCATTTGTATGATAGGTCAATTATTATTATTTAGTGTAAATAGGAGTACAATATAGATCTATAGACCCTAGACCTACTTAATTTATATCTGATTTATAAATCAGAAAATCTAAATCTAAATAGTGAAAATCATATCACCATAATTAAGTGGCAGCTGGATTGGCCAGATTACCCCCACGGTACGAGATCTCTGGGTTACCGTCTGTATATGGGGAATGTCAACAAATGTCAGTTTTATTAAAGAAATGACCCATATCAGACGGTTATTTCTGTCTACGACTCTCTACGCTTTGCTGGAGTGGCTTGCTCCTAATCATGAACAGTCAACATCTTTTTTAATTATCATTAATAGCCGAGGATGTAGTCATTTAAGTATAGTCTCTGCTTTCCAGTTTCATACGCCCAAAATAGATCTAGACCTATACAAAGGCTATAGGGGGCCTACATAAATTATCATGAGCTAAAAAGTAATACTTACTAGGAACAGGCCTAGCCTAACAAAAAGTTGAACGTATGGGGCTTATCTAAACTTAACTTAAAGAGAGTATCGTCATTGCACGAAGATCATTTCATTCGCTCTGTGATATTTAGACCAATCGAGACAATCACTGTTAATATCATAATTTTAATACATACTATTACAACAAAATTCATAGTAAATTACAATAGACATCATCATAATCTCATCTTCCAAGCACTAGTATTCAATAACTCACCGCAAGCACAGCAGACACAATTTGCTGGGCCTGCAATTATGCGCATGCTCATATCCCAAAACAAAATAGAGCTTGTAATCGGCCATTTTCGTAATGTAACCAAATTTAATGCATAAGTCTTTGTAAAGTGCCTCAATACAAATTATTTTATTCACCTGATAAGAATAATAATATTTCGATAGAAATAATCCGAACTGCATACATTAGTTGTTGCCAGGTTGGACAAACATTATGGTATGAAATACATTACGAAACTGGCCTATTGACTTTTGACACCCTCTGACAATGTAAAAGGTTACGTAATAATTCAAGATTTTTTTCTTCAAATTGGAATAAATCAAAGAAAAGCCCATGAAAGATGGACACATGCATGATCATTTCCAGGCGCGTACACAGGGGGGGGGGGGGGGGGGGGGGGGGGGGGGTGGGGGGGTTAAACCCCCCTTTGGTAATTTTTTATGTGTAAACCCCCCCTAAATATCTCTAACCCCCCCCCCCCCATTTTCAAATTTCGAGACCAAAAAAAAATAAAAATGTGTCCTCTTACCCCCCCACTGAGCGACTTTTCGGCTGGCTGAGTCGTTGCGATTTTTTGGGGACCCCCCCCCCCCAAAAAAGGTGACCTCTTACCCCCCCCCCCCCCCCCCACTGAGCGACTTTTCGGCTGGCTGAGTCGTTGCGATTTTTTTGGGCTCCCAAAAAAAAAAAAAAAGTGTCCGCTTACCCCCCCCCCCCCCCCCCCCCCCCCACTGAGCGACTTTTTGGCCGGCGCGATTTTGTAATTTTCCTGAGTCGTTGCGAAATTTTGGACTCGATTTTAAACCCCCCCCCCCCTTGAAAAAACATTTCCATGTGTTGGTGCACTCCGCATTCAGTGCGCTTATTACTTTTGTTGTTATTGAATAATATTCAAAATACCCAGTGCATATTTTCTAGTTTGGTGTCTTCTGTATTAAATAATGCCATTATATTAAAAGTGTCTTATAAACGGCCTCCCGGCTAGCTGTTGGGAGAATTTTCGGCAAGGGGGTGGGATCGGACTACATATTTTCCAATCAACATTGCCGTTAAATACACTTCGAGCAAATTAAGCAAACACGAATAGTAGCTATATTATATAGGCCTAATTTTGTTATTATAAATTGAAAAATTTGGGGTCGTTTGCAGTTGGTTACATCTATTTACATAAAAGGTTGTTGATAAACAAGATAAACGGTGAAGAAGAAACAAAAATTGGTCATAAATCCCCGAGTTAACATCCAGGTTATTTGAAGAAAACTGATTTGCGTTCATCCCGCACTCCCCCCCCCAAAAAAAAACCCCCCACCATAAACACAACTGTAATGAAATCGATGACATGTCCACCATTTAGATTAATGATTATACTTACAATGTTGCATGCAGTAATCATGCAATGCGTTGCCGAAAACGAAAATCCCATTACGTTTACATTGAGCGGCTTTTAATGTCATCGCCAAACATCGACGGGGTCGGAGATTCATGAAAGCTTCCATTCTGTTTAGAGAATAAATCAAACATTATAATTCGTATGTCATCATCATTTATAAAGTCGCTCTGAGAGAAACATAATTAGCAAGAGATCAATGTAGGCCTTTATCAGTGACATAATTATATTGTAAACATATCAAAATGAACAACAAAACGTTTTTTCTTTAAAAGTTGAGCTGAATATATATAACGTATAATTTAGTAATTGACTAAAATAAATAATCTATCTAATTAATTTTTACTTATACACGGTACACTGCAAATTTGTTATGTAACGACTTTACACAACATTGGGTGGTAACCCAGGGGTTGTCTTAAGTTGTGTATAAAAAAATACACAACTTTACACTGCAAATTCGTTATGTAAAGTAGTGTATTTTTTTTTACACAACTTAACACTGAACCACGCAATAAAGTGGTTACACAACGAATTTGTAGTGTGGTCTTCCATGATGCCTCGTTTGGTAACAGCAAAATGCAATGACAATCATGAATATAAATCCATAATATCATAACAAAATAAAACACAGAATAAATAATAATGCATGAATACAATTTGTTGGTATCCTTGTAATAAATGTGGACTTTTTAAACAAAAAATACTGTTGCATATATTTGTAATATCGTATTACATGTATATATGGTAATCTGTTCTTAAATCAAGTGAAATATAATCTTAACTTTTTATACATTTTTTGAATAGCCTCATAAAGTTGTTTCTGAAGCTCATAATTTTGTATAAGCAAAGTAAAAAGACAATCTTGGCTCAACATATAGACTCACATGCACTTGAAATACCAAAAGTTCTATAATATAAAACTTTGGGTATCTCAAGTGTGGATATGCAAATATTACAAGATTGAATTCCTTGTTAGGTAATAAATTTCCGTTGATTTGAATTAAAATAGCATTTGAATATACAAGCTAAATACTAATGAACATATCAATATATTTTAAACTGATAACGAATGATGTCATTAATTTAATTTGAAAAGCTTCATGTTATCCTACATTATGATAACTATGAAGCAAATTCCATCAGGATGAATATGAAAACTGCATGTGCAGTTGGATTGTAAACGCATCACGAAACAATGGTGTGATCAGGCGCGTACGCAGGATTTTTTCAAGGGGGGGGGGGGGGGGGTTAACATTTATAAATCGGGCCGAAAATTTCGCAACGACTCAGCCAGCCGCTGAATAAGCGGGGGGGGGGGGGGGGGGGGGGGGGGGGGAGGTAAGAGGACACTTTTTTTGGGGGGGGGGGGGGCCTCGAAATTTGAAAATTTGACATTTGGCTCCGTTGGGGGGGGGGGGGGGTAAGGTCACCTTTTTAGGTCTGCCATGGGAATAATTTTTTTTTTATAATAAAAAAAAAATCAAAGGGGGGGGGGGGGTTTAGGGGGAGTGATGGGGGGGGGGGGGGGGTTTACACACATAAAAATACCAAGGGGGGGGGGTTACCCCCCCCCCCCTGTGTACGCGCCTGGGTGTGATTAACACAAGATAAATGCTTTGAAATATAATGAGAAATAAAAGTAAGAGTTCAAGGAATAGAATCCTCTCGGCATTCAATTTCCCCCGGTCCCCAACAGAAAAAATCTTCTGTGTGCCCATGTCTTGAGCCATAATGCATGCATGGTCGTACAGAGAATTTTGTTATGTTGGGGACCGGGGTAAAATTCAATGAATTATTGAAAATTGATTGCATTTTTCTTTGAGGTTTTTTATTTGTGGGAACTGCCCCCTACCCTAGCCCCCGCTGCGTACAGTCGTGGTTCAGTGGCAAAGCAATGGCATTGTAACTGTGAGGCCCCAGGATCAAATCCGTGTCGATGTGCCATATTAGTGCCCTTTTGTGGGGCATTAATCCTCATTACTGTCATTTATGACTTAAGGGCGTAGGTCCCCTAGTTGATAAGCATAGTAGCATACACATGCTTTAGCATTCACGCAAAATAAACACAAATTATTAGTCAATAAAATCTGAGAATGTGTATCTAGATCTATTAGGAATGATTCATTGTCAAAATAATTCCATAAATTGAGGTAAAAAAAAATATTCCAACTAGATGAGCGACAGTGTAGTATTCCCATTACAAAACATATGTAGAGCTGCACTCCTATCATCGGTTTTCTTCCTTTAAAAATATGATACCTGATCTGCTCAAGAAAGTCAGCAGAGTCTCACATTTTGGCGGGACCTTCAACAGAACGGGATAATTGTTTTCATGTTTAAAGGGCATTTCAATGCTTGCAAAATCTATAATTATGCGTGTTTAGTAAAAACAATAAGAAAATCAGTGTTCTGATTAAAACAAAAGGATGGGACAAACAATAAGAAAATGTCTCTCGAAAACGCTTTTGAGAACAATTGGGGGTATAATTATGTCCACCTTTCCAAACTTAATGATGCTCTTGGTCTATTCAAATGTTTATAAACATTTCCAATCCTTTGATTAAAACTTTCACTACTGTACTTTAAAAAAAGATAGATAAAAACTGTTCTAAAACTTACGCGGCATCGTCGGCGAAGTTTCTCCGATGTTGGTGGCATATTCTTGTTGGGTGCCTTGTCTTCCTTTTGCATCGGTGCCCCTTCTGTGTGTTGCACAGACATCTTAATGCAGCTGGCATCACTCGTGGCATGATGATCTGGAGAAGGGGATGAAGAAACATTAACAACACATTATTAATACATAAATAAAGTATAGACCTCAAATAAGGTTGATGATTATGTTCGATGTGGTCTCTCATTCTATTATTCTAAAGAAACTAATTTGTTCATGTTGGTTTTGATGATTCAAGTTTACGCTTTTTTCATGTGTATCTAACTCCGTCTGAGGATATCATATTTTTCAGTCAACGGTAATAGTTTGTTAGATTACAGTCACTTGCAGGAGAAGTACAATGGGTCCCTTGCTATTTACTATTTATCATTTTGTATAAATGATATCTCAAATGCTATACAGTTTAGTACCATTCCACTGTAATACTGATTTTAATACAATTGAGTATGTTTACGAAACGGATTTCTAAGCGGATGACGCGCAATGAATTCTTGTCGAATCCTAAGAAATGTGAATTAATTTTCGCTGCAAGGCTTTATAATATAAAGCCTTCACTTTTCCAACCTCATCTTGATTACGGTTCTGTTGTGTGGTTAATGCATGAGCAAATTTAGTTCATGTGATGTGTGTTCCACAAAATCGAGCACTTTGCAATTTATTACGAGTTGAACGTAGGTATATTACTGTTTTATTTATTTTTTATGTTGCATGGATGCCTCCCATTACTAATTTGTTCTAAATTTTCTACTAAGACAAGTAAATATTCTCTTCGCAATTATGACTGTAAACATTTATCTTGAATAAAAAATAATGTGACCTTTTTAAGTATAAGAGTAGTTTTAGACATTTCAATCCATTACATTGTGATATTAACCGATGAATAGACAACCTTGTTCACGTCTTTGTTAACTTAATCAGCTCTATCTATTTTTTGTTCACTGGGGGGGGGGGGGGGGGCTGGGTTCAAATGGTAAGTCTCATAGTTTTCTCGATAATTTTCATTTGTTTTGTCAATTATATGTCATTAGTTGTTTGTTTAATAATGCACATGGGCTCCCTGAAAAGTGGTCTATTTTGCCGGGCTGATTGTGAGCCTGATTTTACAGTGTTTATATACATACATGACAAAATAATAGTTAACCGATTCTTTAAAGATATTACTCCTTGCTTCGACTGTGGGAGAATACAATGTTACTCACGAACTATAATTTTTGTTATTTTCAACTGATTTCACAGATTTTCAAATTCATAGCCTCACTCAGAATTTAAAAGGAATACTGGAATACAACAAAACAGTTGTCAGAGGGCCTTATGCTAGGAGTCCACTGGGCCGGCGCCAGTTGGCGCCAGTTTGCGAAAGTTTGCGCCAATGCAATTTACTGTGGCGCCTAGTGTCGCCAATAAGGTGCCTAGTGGCGTGTAGTGGCTCAAACTGCCTCCCAACTGGCTCGTGGTGGCCCGTAACGGCGCCAAATTTGAATGTGGCGGCAAGAAAATGTCAAAATGTTTGAAATTTTCGTCGCGCCACTTGCATCGAGCAATCAGCGCCAAGTGTCCGCCAAGTGGCACCAAATGGCGCGAACATATCGCCCTTTGGCGCAAACAATCCGCCTATTGGAATCCACTGGAATGTAATGGCGCGCGCCAAGTTGCGCCAATGAGATTTCGCGCCACATGGCGCCACTTGGCGCCGAGGGGCACCTTGTTTGCGCCACTACGCGAGCCAAACGGCACCCGATTGGTGACTACTTCGCGCCAAATGCCACCTGATTGCCCGCCATTCGGCGCCACTTGCCGCCTATAACAGCAGGGCGGCATCGCAGGACTTTCTCACAGTGATGGCGGCAGTTCTCCAAGCTCTAGGGATGAGGTTGTGCTGGGCATCCTCCTGGTCCAACATGCGGACGTCCAGTGCCTGATAGTGCTTCCTGATGAGGTTGTGCTGCATGACGGCAGCTTCAATGAGCAGGCGGACTGTGTCTGGTTCCTGTCTCATCTGGCCAAGGAAGCACTGGAACCGCAGAGCCAGAATACCAAAGGCATTTTCAACCACACGCCTTGCCCTGGACAGCCTGTAGTTGAAGATCTTCTGCTGTTTGTCCATGTTACAAAGGCCATAGTGCTTCATCATGTACGTCCTCATGGCGAAGGCATCGTCTCCCACGAAGAAGTACGGCATAGGGTGCTCTTTATCATCTTGGGGAAGAGGAGCTGGATCTGGGATGCCTAAAGTGCCAGCTTCAATGCACTCCTTCAGTTCACTGTTGTTGTAGATCTGGGCATCAGACTGATGGCCAACCCCACCTACATCGATCCACAGGAACTGGTACTTTGAATCTACCAGAGCCATCAGGACGACCGAGAAGAACTGCTTGTAGTTGAAGTAAAGGCTGCCTGATTTTTGGGCTTCTAGAGACGGATGTGCTTTCCATCATAGGCTCCCAGACAGTGAGGAAGATTCCATCTGGCTTCAAAATCACCTGCAACCTCAAGGCAGCCTTCATTGGTTGTGGGGAGGGAGATGACTTCTGCAGCATACTCATCCACTACCGCTCTGGCTACATCAGGGACAAACTTCTGGATGGTTTTCTTGCCCACTCGGAAGTTGTAAGACAGCTCGGCATAGGTGGCCCCAGTGGCGAGATGGCGCAGGAAGACGGACAACTTGAGACCAGGGAAATGGCCTTCCTGATGTGGGTGTCCTTCTTCTGCAAGTGGGTTGTAAGCCTGACCAACAGGTCATCAAACATCTCTGGGGACACCCTGGTGTAGTTCTTGAACTTCCTCCTGTCATTCTCACTCAGCTCTTCCATCAAAGTGTGATACTGTCCACGTTCGGCCCTCAACTGTGGGTGGAGCATGGGTCTAAACCACCAGTTGTGCTTCCTTTTCTTCTTAGGAGGCTCTTCTTCTTTAGGATTGGCCAGCATAAGTTGATAGGCAGTGGCCACCTCAGCATCTCTCATCATCTTCTGATGGAGCAGCATCATCACTCCAACATTATCAAAAGCCTCAGACATATCAAAATTGTAAATATTTAGTAGAGATGTTGTTCATACAGCAGCTGAGGAGGGTCTGAACCAGGTAGCCAATGGCCGGTATTTATTTAGTCGGCAAGTAGCGCCAAGCGGCGGCAATTTCAAGCCAATTTGGCGACCTTTGGCACAAACTAATCACCAATTGGCGCAAAGTAGCCGTCTATTGGCGCGAATGGCGCCAACAGGGTGAATTTTGGAATCAAATGGCCGTGTAATGGCGCAAACTGGCGCGAACTGGCGCAACATTTTGGAGCAAGCCGGGTGGCATTTGGCGCACGCCATATGGCACCCAGTTTATTCCACTTGGCGACACATGCCGAGCGGACATTAATTCGGCGCCACAGCGAGCCACTACGCGCCAATCACATAATCTTTGGCGCGAACTGGCACCAACTGGCGCCGGCCCAGTGGACTCCTAGCATTAGGTAGCATGTTTATATCCAACATTCAAGGGTTCTAAAAAGTATTCCCATTCTGAATCGTACGTAAACATTGTCTAAAAAGAAATACTATACAAATTGAAGATACATACCGAAGTAATGTGTACGAAAAAAGTCTGATATGGCGATGGCTGAAACAAATGAAAGAGAGAGTAATAAATGATCAAATAAAAAATTCATTCATAGGCCTATCACTTACATTATAGACGCTCTATAGTGCAAATGATGAAACCACATAAACGCGCTAACTCAAAGGTACAACATGATTAAGGATAGGGCATAACAAAGGGAAGATTACAGTTGATTGTAGTCCTAATTGAACAGATAGGTTTTAATATTCTTTGAGAATGCTTCTACGTATTACGGCAGAACCATTTATTTCACAATATTCCTGTTAGTTCACTAACCAGGTTTTCAAAAAAAACTTCGGTATCGGATAGTCAATGTATTATAGCACAATGATGGAAAAGCTGATGGGGTCGATAAATAGAATTCCTTTCCTTCTAAATTTTAACCTACTACGGTATCTCCTAAACGGTTTGCTTTAGAAACCATATATACATGTTGTTTAGAATTTAATTGTATATATATCCTTAACGAATCATTACAGTTGTTTTTTTCCTTAATTAACCTTGAAACTTGAAACAAATTAAGAGAACTTTCATAAAAAAAGAAAAGAAAAGGAACAATATCGTGGTTATATTCAAAGGGAAAACAAATTTGAATATACAAATAAATAACTATATTCTTTCATAACTTTCAAAACAACTTAAGAAAATGAAAACTTGATTTGCCCATAAATACACCATGATTGGCTAAAAAAAAAAAAGTTACAATATTGTTTTTTACAATATTATTGATATCATGCCCCTCATCTTTGTAGAACTAAAATATCCATGAAAATTGGTTCAAGTAGTGTTTATTGAGCAATTGGGAAGTAAAAGTTCACTATCTAAAAATCAGGTTATCCATTATGAGTATTTGTATACATCGAAATTATAAAAAGTACAAAAGCAAGTCTGTAATATAATATGATAGACCATTACAATCATAGCATTATTTTACAACTTCTATTCCACTTTGGACCGATATCCACGTATTTGACGATTTAACTGCACATGACCGGTTTACGTTACTATTACGTTTTAGTTGTGAAGAAGAATAGTCTAGGTGTGGTCAACAGGCGCGTACGCAGGGGGGGGGGGGGGGTGGGGGGTTGAACCCCACCCCCCCCCCCTTGGTATTTGTTATGTGTGTATTTTGGAGGAAAACCCTTTGCATTTTTTGTTTTTTATTTAATTAAAAAAAAAAAATTATACCAATTGCTGACCTAAAAAAGTATCCTCTTACCCCCCCCCCCCCCGCTTTTTCAGCGGCTGGCTGAGTCGTTGCGAAATTTTCGGCCCGATTAAAAATGTTAAATCCCCCCCCCCCCCCTTGAAAAAATCCCGCGCCTGGTGGTCAATATGTAATATGTTTACTGTAAAGAAAACGAAAATCTTCATCCTATTTATCAGTCAAGTTATAATAATTACATATATTCACTATTTTTTGCATGGAGATCCTTGTTTCTTATGGATAATAATAATTGAATTCATATACATATATTTACACGAATTAAATTAACATAATATGTCGGTGATTTGTTTGAATAAATAATGCGACCAAATAATGTATCTAGTTCTCTGTTTCCAAGTTACTTCCATGAAAGAGATATGCATTCAATTACAAAAGGACCTCGTATAAAATTAAATGTTTACATTGTCCGCTGAATCAATCGTAATTATCACAATGAAAGAAACAAGAGCATGATAAAGCTTTTAGTCGTCTTGCTTCTATCAGAGCTTTAAAAATAATCAATAAGGAGTTACACATTCACATTCCGAAGATTACGTGACAAATCATTACGTATCGTTGCATGCACACGGACATCTCCAATCACGCATAATCATTCATTGAGAGACAGATAAACAACTTGATGATTATTATTGCTACAGGCAAAGTTTCTTCCCAAGAACACTCCGGGACTGGGATGAGCTCCCTACCAACTTCATTGAACTGCCCTCTGTGGAGAAGTTCAAGGGAGCCATCAGCGCCTAAATCATAGGAGGATCTGTTTTTACTCGCACAACTTGTATATACGCACTATGCACTAATCAATCATGACCACTATGAGAGACACCACACCACAATATCCTCGTTTAGTTGCTGAAAAGGCTTTTGACGAGTACCAGCATAGACGTAGACGTAGACGTAGAGGATATGTCTCATTATCTCGTAATGACATTCTTAAGAGTCTTGGTTGAAATAATCTAAATCAAAGTTCATACACAAGCATATTGGCACTATGGCGATAAGCAGTTTTGTTAACATAATATATCACAATAGAGAACATCATTACAAGATCATATTTTGATCAAATACAAACATACATGCATAATTTTAAAATAAAAGTTCGTCTTTATACCAGCAACCTTGCAACAACCTGACAGTATTTTATGATAAAATAAGTTCTCGATTAATAATATATCTCTCCTACATAACACCAGTACTGTGATAGCATACACACGTGCATAATATTATGCTACTAGAAAAAGTAGAGAAGATAATAATATATGTACTTACCAAATACGAAGCGAAAAGGGAACTGAAGAAAACGCGCGAATTCGGGGGTCCAGCAGTATCTTGATCGCTCCATTGTCCCTATTCATACAATTAAATCTATTATCATGATTTCAAAGACTTTCACATACTTGGCGTTTAAACATGTTAATCGTTTCTAAGCTGTGAGACTGAACTCGTATATATCAATTAACGACACTCTTCTCATAATGTGCATCGTCACCAGTCTCGTCCATAGTTTGGAAGAACTATTCTATGGTTGTTAACCATCGGAGCATGTGACGACGAGAAGAGAAGATGGGTGAATTCCCTGTTCATAACTAAGCCAAAGTCAGAGCATCTATTGATAGACAACCAGCTATTGTGTATTGTGCAAGGTTGAAAAAGTAGAACGGGTGAATGTCGTTCATAAGTATGAACATTGCATAATGAAAGAATGGAAGCGCTTTAATACGTTCCTTAATAAAAAAAAAACTTTAAATTCGAGCGAGCGTAGAGAGCGAGTTTTAGATGAAATTTGAGAAAAAATTGCTTTCAGCCGCTTTAAATTGGGGGCTCTGAGGCTCTGAGGAATCCATTGTTTTGGGGATGATGATGAATTATAAAAACATCTTTTCATAGCATTAACGGTTATTGTGTCTCTTAATGTTTTAATGTGAATGAGATTTGGCAATGTTAATGCTGTTGCCGTCGAACACACCTTCATTTGTTACCTTGCCATTCTGTGAAGTTCAAAGGTCATGGGGTTTAAGGTATAATAGGTTCAAATATGCTTCTTTTATAGCAGATGAGTAGATTAGCCTACCCAGGCGCGCTGGAAGCACTTTGGGATTGGGAGGTGGGGGGGGGGGGGCAAACATTACATTGGGCTCGCCTTTCAGAGGCAGTGGCGTAATGAGCAAAAGAGTTTGGGGGCAGAAAAATCTGTACCACCACTCTTACATATTAAATGCAGGCCCCGTGGCAGTGGAACGTTTTTAAAAGTAACGATCAGGAAGAGCATATATATTCGATGTTAGTGTCGTCAATCCCTGGCTGGGAGACGGTCACCTGTGAATGATGAACCTACCGGGCCCTGTCCCTTAAATTGTAGGTGAACGGAACGCCCAGTCAGATTTCTATTTTTTTAAAAATTTGTATTGAATTGTAATTTAAATTTGTTTTTATTTGTATTGCTTAGTCGATGTTAGTGTTGTTAATTCCTGGCTGGAAGATGGTGATCAGTGAATGATGAACCTACCGGGCCCTGCCCCTTAAATTGTAGGTGAACGGCACGCCCAGTCAGATTTCTAATTTGTTTTAAATTTGTATTGCTTAGTCGATGTTAGTGTTGTTAATTCCTGGCTATTTTTAGGCTAGGAGATGGTGACCTGTGAATGATTAACCTACCGGGCCCTAGTGAAAGGCACGCCCACTCAGATTTATATATTTTTTAATTATTTGTATAGCTTAGTCGATGATAGTGTTGTTAATCACTGGCTGTAAATAAAGAACTTACCGGGCCCTGCCCCTTGAACTGTAGGTGAACGGCATGCCCAGTCAGATTTTAAAAAAATAATTATTTGTATTGCTTAGTCGATGTAGCCTTTATGTTGTTAATTCCTGGCTGAGAAAATCTGTATTCCGTTAGATCACAGTGATACCAACGGAATACAGATTTCCTACAATATTTACTTGTACATTTAGGAAGATATTATGCGAGGGAGCGTAGCAACCGAGCAAAAAGTTTTTTTCGCATTTGTATTAGTCTAAACGCTGCACTCTTAGGCCCTCCAGAGCCTAAAAGTGTGTTAAAGTCTTTAGTCAGTATTTGCTATACATTTTTAGGGCACTTTTCAAATTTTCCGGTGGGGCGACGATCCCCCCTAAATCCCGCCCATACCCCCTAGGGAATAATTTGTTGGACATCAAATCTCTTTCACGTACACTCTCTCTCAAGGATAATTTTATGGAACAAAGGGTTGTCTTGGCAATTACTAAATCTATCTTAACGGATGTGGTCTAGGGGCCCGCATTAGGAGCCCTGATGGGTTGCCAGGGCAGAGCTTCCCATTTTTTTTTAATTTTTTTTTTTTTTTTTTTTTTTTGGTGGGGGGGGGGGGGTCCAGGGGTGAAACCCCCTTACGTTCTAGAGTTAAAAAAAAAATGAAAATCAAGATGGCCGTCACGAACGATAGAAATGTTAATTTCTCCTTGAAATTCACACGACCTCTATCATTTCATGTTGTTGAAATAAAATTTATTTCAAATTCATAGTACAAACTCAGTTGGCGGATCCAGGAATTTCTAACGGGGGGGGGGGGGGGGCACAAAATCGCATGGGGTGAAATATATGTAAAACGGCGGAGCGACCAAGCAGGGGTGGGTCTGGGAAAACCACATTAGGCGCATTTTCAGGCACTTCCTGGAGTAATATGACGTTAAATTCCGCGCAAAGCGCAGAAGCTATGACGTTCATTTAATTATAAGAGAAAGAAGATGATTTCTTGTACCGTTCTCTACTCTTAATCCTTGTCTGAATTCAGTTTCACCCTTCCGTGCGATGCGCAAAAGCTTTGACGTTTCATTAAATTATTGCTCTCAATCTTTGTCTAAAATCAGTTTCTCCCCTCCCGCGCAAAGCAGCTTTTACGTTTCATTAAATTATTAGAGAGAAAAGAGACGATTCGTTGCACCGTTCTCTACTCTTAATCTTCGTCTGAATTTAGTTTTTCCCCTCCCGCGCGAAGCGCGGAAGCAGTGACGTTTCATTAAATTATTAGAGGAAGAAGACGATTTGTTGTACTGTTTTCGTTTCTTAATCCTTGTCTGTATTCAGTTTACCCCCTCCCGCCCGAAGCGTGGAAGCTTTGACGTTATATTGTCTGAATTCTCAAAAATGTTTCTTTGCCTGATAAAAAGTCACAGTTCGTAAGAAAAGAAAATTTGCCGGTGTGACCGCGTAGAATGTTACCCGCACCGATCGTCCGCCTATTAGAGATCGATCGAGAGCGGACGATCGGTGCGGATTTTATCCGCGCAGAATATCCGTGTCGGACATTCCGTGCGCGCCTCAAATGTTCGACGGACAATCTGTGCGGAAGAGGTCTCGCACCAATAGTCCGCCTGCCGCACCGAATGTCCGTACTCTAGTCCACACGTATACATATTCAATACAAGTATAAATATATGAAACGACTGGATAACCCATATTCAGCTTTGCCAGCTAGCTAGGGATGACACTACAGGTCTTCCCGGCGCGGATCAAGGGGGGGGGGGGGGGGGGGGAGGGCCTTGACCCCCAACCGCCAACAAAAAATGAAGAGAGAGAGAGGGAGAAGGTAAAGCGGAGAGTAAGGGAAAGGAAGAAGAGGAAGAAGAAAAGAAAAGGGGGGGGGGGAACAAAGGAGATCGGGGGCGAAAGGCCTTCGCCGCCCCCCCCCCCCCTCAGCAAAAGAGAGAGAGAGAGAGAGAGAGAAGGAAGGAAAATAAGGGAAAGGGAAAGAAGAGACAAAGGGAAAGGAAAAAAGAAGAAGAAAAAGGGGAAAGAAGAAGATCGGGGGGGGGGGCGAAAGGGCTTTGCCTCCCAGGCTGTTGCCCCCCCCCAGCAAAAAGAAAGAGAGAAGGAAGAGAAGGGAAAGAAAAAAGGGAAAAGACGAGATAAAGGGAAGAAAAGAAAAGAAGGAAGATATCAGTTGCAGTTTACCCGCCAACAAGTTGGAGATTGGGGGGGGGGGGGCAAATGGCCCTTGTCCCCCCCCCCTTCTACAGCAAACTTAAAAGAGAGAGAAAAGAAGAGAAGGGGAAGGGTAAAAAAAGAAAGGTACGGAGATCAATTGTGATTTTTTCCCACCAACGCGGTGTGGATCGGGGGCGAAAGGCCTTCGCCTGCCCTCCCCTGGCCCCTCAGCAAACAAAAAGAGAGAGAGAGAGAGAAAGAAGGAAAAGAAGCGAAAGGGAAAGAAGAGAGAAGAGGAAAGGAAGAAGAAAAGAAAAAGGGGTCCGACAGGGCCTTGCCGCCCATGCTGTTGCCTCCCCCCCCCCGCAAAACAAGAGAGAAGGAAGGAAAGGGAAAGAAACAAGAGAAGAAAAGAAAAGAAGGGATATCAGTTGCAATTTTCCTGCAAACAAGATGTGGATCGCGGAGAAAGGCCTTTCCCTCTGCCTCCCTCAGCAAACTTAAATGAGAGAGAGAGAGAGCGAAGTAAGGGAAGGGAAAGGGGGGGGGGGGGAGAGGAAGAAGAAAGGTAGGGGAGATCAGTTGCAATTTGTCCCAATTTGTACCCCTACCCCCCCCCCCCCCCTCAGCAAAGAGAGAGAGAGAGAGAGAGAGAGAAGGAGAAGGGAGGTGAAAGGGAAAGAGGAGAGAAAGGGACAGGAAACAAAGATGAAGAAAAGAAAAGGAATTAAGGAAGATCAGTTGCGATTTTCATTGGTTCTTCTATCATCATTGTACAACTATCATTGTACAAATGTATTTATAACATTTATTTATTCCTGTTTGATAACAAAAATATGAATATAAACTCACAACAGCAACAAAATTGAATGTAGAAGGAAACTATCTTGCTGGGAGCAAGAAGCGCAAAAATGATCATGCATTTGCATGAACATGTAAGTGTATCATTAATATCATTCATATTGTTTAATTACATCTTGTGAAATAGTATGCATTCAAGCTTTTGGGATTTTTCGTTGGTGTATTTGTATGAAATAAAGCATTTTGAGCTTGTAATGCACATGTTGCAATTTCAGGTGCAACTTAGCGTTCAAATATGGGTTACGCACGGCCAGGCATTAGTGTAGGAAATCTTCAAATGTTAATCAGGTATATGACTAAATTACTTGTCTGTTGCCTAACGAAAAAAATTATATCTAGTCAGGCCTGAATTGAGTCGCAAAACAATCATTGTGTTAAAAGGAAAAAAACATATTTGATGACATTCGAAATTCCCAAATAACCAATACGATTGGAGAGCGAGTACTCGTTTTGTTTTTCTTCAAAAATTACTCAACTATAAATAGCTGGCCCGGATACTTGAGCCTCTCACAAAACGCAAGTATAGGCCTGATTTGTCGTCAGGGGCGTCGCTAGACCTTTTTCAGTGGGGGGGGGGGGGGGTGGTATAGAGGCCAACGATTACCGACAAAACAAGCCACCAATTACCTACAAAATTAAATGTCCCAATATCTACAAATGTAACCCTATAAACCCGAGGCCAAAGGCTAAATTGTTATGCGCAAATGGTCATTTTCGTCGACGACATAAATATACAAATTATTTCGTCAACTTAGTAAGCATCATAGCTATATATTTTAATGCAGGCGCGTAGGTAGGATCTTATTTAAGGGAGGGGCGGTATTGGGCAAGCGAATCACTTAAAAAGCACGCAAAGCGCTCCCTAGGTGGGGTAGGGGTGGGTGAAAGGCCTCCCGCGCGAAGCGCGGTAGCTTAG